AGCGTTGGTACACGTTCAACTTCCGCCTCGAAGGGATCAAGGAGCGCTCGTCTCACTATCGTTGCGTCTATTGTTTCTTTTTCTCACTAGGGCGAGAAAGTTCGCAGACAGGGAAAGCTAGGTGCTCTTAGCGTTTTTTTTTTAATTATTGTAATTCAGTTCGTCGGACAAAGTAGAGTTTCTCGGTATTAATCCAGATATGTCTACTATTGAGTTGAGACAGTAATGTGTACTAGATTGGTTCGTGTGAAATTTCGTTACCTCCCTCGTGAGTTTTTGAATTTTGAAGAAGAAGAAATTTGTTGTGAATTTGGCGATAAGAATGTTTTAATTTTATCATTAGTTGCTGCAGGTGATCAAAAATTCCTTCGATTTTCTTTATGGATTTATCACTTAGAGAAGGTCAAAGGTATTCTTCGCTCTATGAATTTTTGAATTTCACAATTGATGATTCTTGTAAATTTGGCATTTTTTAATGAGAAAAATCAAATTGTATTGAATCGTGCAAATGTAATTATTGACAATTATAATTAAATTAAAATGATATCGTTGAGAATATAACTGGACGATCAAAATTTAGAAATTTCATTATGATATATAAAAATTGTTATTTAATTAATTACTAAATGGATGAAATGAAAAATAAATTCAGTCATATCCGGATTAATAACACAACAAAACTCAACAGTGACACGAACCTTCAACATCTCCGACTTTTCCAAGCAAGCCAAGTGAAAGTTATTCATATCTTTGCTCTCGTCGCTCCCTTCGAGAAAAACGGAAGCCACCGCGTCGATCAGTACAAAATTGAGGGAATTACTGGCGCAGCTGGTTACAGGCTAGAAAACTTGATACAACGAGCAACAACAACAATCATCAGCAACAACAACGGAATAATGATTAAAGAAAAAAACAATCATCTACCGTGCAAGTGTCGCACGTGTGGTTAGCGCGAGTATAAAAAAAAAACGGAGGTTACAAAAAAAAAAAAAAACAACCGAAGAAACCGCTTTCGATCGACTGGATAATTACAGAAGCCAGACCGGCGTTCGTCTGCTATTTATTGTAAAATACAAAAACTCGGGGTGTGCGTCAAGAGAAAACAAGACTAAAAGAGCGTGATGCATTTTACAGCAGGCGCATTCCAAGTAACACATTGGTAGGGTCGTGAAACAGAGTAGAAAACAAGAAAGTATCGAACAACGCGTATCACGATACGATCGATCTGTGGTCTCGGGATGCGATCCCATCCTCTCTCGAGTCATTTTCTTATCTCCATCGTCAGCTGTATTTTGCGATGTTCTTTTGCGACTCAATCGCCAGGTGAAAATTTTAATTGACGCTCGCAATAATTATACACGCGGTAAGGAAAACTCTCACGCGGAAATTCAAAATTCGTTGGCCGATTTTCGTTGGATTTCATCGTGACGTGCACGTCCTCCAATTAACGATAATTAATTAATCGGCTAACGATCGGATGTTGGCTCTTGGGGCTCGTGTACGCTGATGAACACGGGTCGCGACAAGCTCGATATATTCAATAACGAGTGCGCCGAAACGTCTAAAAATTTCAAGAATTCAATTTTCCCGGGAATTATCCGACGCTTGGGCAAATAAAACTGTAATCGGAACAGTGAAAAAGAAGGAAATTGATGGGCGCGTGTTTTTGCCGAATGATTCGAAACACGAGTGAAATATTATTTCGAGAGACTCAACGTTCACGAGTAAGAAAATTTTTTTTTTTTTTTTATGAAATTTCACGCAACGAAGCAGAAATCCTAATGAAGATTCGAAGTGAGACACAAATTTTAATTAACTTTGTCAATGAATAACGAATCTTAGACTCTGAGACTCTACACTGGCAGATAGAAATTTGACAAAAATCATTACAAATTAAAACAAATCAAAAGATACTGTAATTATTAAGTTGCAGTAAAAAAATATCTAGAGATACTGGAATTTTACTGATGTATCACTGTATTTTACTACGTTACGATATTTATATCTACTCTACTCGATCGAGAACAAAAATCAGAAACAATACGATAGAAACGACACGAAGAATTTGTCATAACGAATGGGAAGAGAGTCGAAACGGTGGGACGAGAAAACGAACAGAAGAAAACAAAAAAAAAGGAACGAGAAGAACGCACAATCCACGTTGGACCACAGATCGATAATCGTCGCGCGTGTAACATCGCCCTAAATGGCGTGTGGGATTCGCTAATTACGTGAAAGGAACATCGATAATGCGTGCCCCAGAGAGAACAACAACGGTGCTGAGGGAGAATAAAAACAGAAAAACACAAAAAAAAAAAAAGAAGAGAAAAGGGGTGGAAAAAAAGAAACGAAACGCTGGTATTCGACGAGTAGTCGTGGTGAGAATGTAACAGCACCGTCGCTTCCGATGTATTCTCCCCGTTCTCGTTGTTTCTCGTTCCTCGAACTCGAAGAGAACCTCTCGTTGCTACGTGTCGTGTATCTCGTGTTTTTTTTTTTTTGTTTTCTTTTTTGTCAGGGAAGAAAAACGCATTCGTTATTGTCTGTCTGTGTGCGTTGTACGACGAGGGTGGAGGAATGAGAAAGAAGGTCGAAGTGCCGAAGAAAAAAAGAAGAGGCGCGAGGGAAAGTAGGAATTTCTAGGGAGAAACGCGGAGAATCTCTGATAAATTTTATCGAGAGAGAGAAAGAGAGATTGCCTCTTAACACGAGTTGATTGTCACGACAATGGCGGCTTTTCTAAATGTTTTATTAAAATAAGATTGAAGAACTAATCGAAGAGATTAATCAATTATTTTATTTGTGTTATCGATTTCAGTCTATCTTTCGAGCCTCAATCTTCAATGTTTGATTTAATCCTTAATTTTTATAAAATACATTTCGTTACAACAAAAGTGCCATTATTTTATGGCGTTGTCATAGAACTGTTCATTTTGAATAACATAAACGATACAAATAGTACTATAATACTAATTTTACCGTAACAAAATATTTTATAAGAAGCAAATATTTCGTTGAAGATTAAATTAAACATTGAAGATCGAAGTTTAAGATAAGATGAGATTCGACAAAACAATTTTAAATAATTAGATAATACTATGAAAAATAGATTTTAACTACACTTTGAAGAATTTGAAACATAATATTTCGCAAAAATTAAATATTCCGTCCTCTATTCGAAACCTGTAGATTTTACCTTGGCAATCAACATGGACAACATTGATTTCTTGTCAAATATTCCTTTTCTCTGGTAGATTGAACGGTGGCCAAATCGTTTTACGAATCGTTCCACGAAATAAAAAAAAAAAAAAAAAAAAAAAAAAAAAAAAAAAAAAAAGAAAAACTAAAAAAAGATAGATAGATTCGTAGTTTGTGGAAACGCGAGGATAGTTCAATTATCCGGAAATAGGCGGCAGGTTTCGAGGTGCCGGGTTCCCGTGTAATTAAAAAGGTAGTCTTTTTAATTAATTCGTTTCAACCGCGCCCCCGTTAATCTGCTTCATCGATTATGAAGCCATTACACGATCGCTGTTAATTAAGTCAGCCCAGCGTGGAGAATTGCCGACTAATTCGAACGTTTTTTTTCCCTCCCTTCGTCGAGGGAAAATCTTCGGAGAATGGACGTTGAACGAGAACGACCACGGAGGGTGGTCATCCTCGATTTCGAAGGAATTAGATTCGTTTGAGCTCTTCGATGGAGGCAATCTCTTGGGTATTGAGGTTTTGTGGCTCGTCAAGGGAGAATGTCTCTCTCTCTCTCTCTCTTTCTCTTTTCGTTCTAACTCCAGACTTTTAAACTTTGAGGGAAAAGAAAGAGATCTACTTATCTGTAATTAATACACTGTTTATGCGTTTGCGAAAGGAGGAAAGAAGTCTCTTTTAAATTTAGAAAACAAATTCTGCACAACAGCGATAATAAGTAAATTCTGTGAACTGGAACTGATTGTCTTTGTTCGTGTAAAATTTATCAGTGATTTACCATTTAACTTGATGATCTATCAACTTCTAACTTTCTTCTATCTTTTCAATTTTAATGATCTCATTGTATTTTCTTATAATAATAGTAATGGTGATGATGATGATAAAAAAAAACAATATTTTATGAATAATGTTAATAAACTAACTTGTACCATTACTCCATCTTTCAACTTCGTTCTATTTTAATTTAATAATAATAATAACAATAATAATAATACGATATATCTCACGAATAAACTATAATTTTACAAAAATTTATGAATTTACACAAATCCAAAACCTATCCTCCTTTCGTCGCGAGAAATTGAAAAAAAAGAAAAAAAAAAAATGTCCACGACAGAACGCGAATTTGAAATCTGTCAATCCCCCTTTTGGCTCGACAATAATACATCTCCGCGCGGTGATATTAACTTCCAAAAGTTTCGTGCATCACCTGAGATCGATCAGATGACAAGAGAGACGTTCGTTCTCCCCGACGCATCAGAGGAATCAGGTCAAAGAAGCAAAGAATAATAGAAGGGAGGTGTAAGGGGGTTGCGTATTGGGGAAGAACAATGACGTGCAAACCACGTGTGTGTGATTTCGTCGAATCTTACGACACCTCTTACGGGCCAGATTATTTGATCGTCACGGATGGAGTCAAAAGTTAGAGGAACAAACAATGAGAAAAGAGCGAAGTGTAAAGAATAGTCGATGTGTGCCAGTGTGCGCGCGTTTCTGTTCGATTTATTCTGCGTCATTCTTCCGAGATTATTATTTGGACACTGCTTGATGGAGAAAATCACCCGGGATCGAAGAAACAAGAAAAGGGGTCGCGCGTCACTTCCGCGCTTTGGATTGGTTCGATTACTTGTGGCGTTACGATAGGAGAAAATCACGGGAGCAAAGAGCAAAAGAAGGGGGTGGTTTGTGCAAGGGGGTTTGTGTCATCAAGGAAGAATAATGAGATGTGCTGGTGTGTGTGAATTTCGTTGAAACTCGCGTCACTTCCGGGCTGGATTATTAGAAGTCTCTCTCTGTACCTTCGTCTCGCCGCCGCCCTGGGTGCAAGGACGAGCGGTGCAGCTGCAGGGGATGGGGTGACCGCGGCTGCGGCGACCGCTGCAGCTGCAGCTGCCGATGGCGCCGCCGCCCCCAGCCAGCTCCACGGCATGGCCGGCAACCTGTATCCTGTTTTTGTCAGAAACTGTTAGTTCGTTGCATCATCGTACCATTATTCTTGCGATTATTGGTTACGTCACGTCCTAGGAGTCAACCCCTATTCGCCGTTCCGTGGATCTTTGCCTCTTCACGTTGTTTGCTCTCGCTCGGGTTAATTTTAACTTTGGCACAACGTTGACGTACCGATGGTATGTATATATACACGAATCGATTGCACGTTATCTTGCAATTTAATTGCAAGCACAGTAACAGAGGTGACAATAGATGATGAATCGTGGGATTAAATATGAATTTCTAACAGTTTACTAGATGGTTTCAAAGTTGGCTCTCTTCCTTTCTCTAAACTGAGACCTTTGAATGAAGTTTGCAATATTATTTCGTAGATTATCGAACGATTTCGAAAAATTATATTTCTGCTTCGTTTCCATACTTTGTTGTTATGTCGCGAAAATATATACTTGAATATATACCACGAATTACGTGTACATATACGAATGTATCTTATACATAAATACATGAAAACGTGCGCACTAATGTTCGATTCATTATCTATTATTAAGAATAAATTAATTTCTTTACGATCTAAACGCCGTCGATCGAGTTTCGATTATGTCGATCGCAATCCGAATTGATTACTCTCTGTATTACTGTATACATGATTTGTTATAGTGGTGGAAGGAGAAGCATGGTAATTGGATGTCGGGGATAATATATATTGATTGGTAGGGCGTTTCCGGAACAATTTAATACGTCTGATTGGTTATTGGCTGGAATTATATTCATACCTACGGTACATTTCTGACTCGATGTTCTGAGTATCTGTGCATTAATGTTCCATCGAGTTCTCTATTTCAACGAGAGTTTTGTTGGAAAGTTTTGTTTGATCCACGGTGCCGATTAGGGGTTGAAAATGGCAGCTTTGTCGTTAAATTCTCTCTCTCACTCATTCACTTACTCACTCTCTCTGTTTCATTCACACGCGTATTATTGTCTGTGACACGAAAATACCATTTTGGTCCAATGATCGATAGCTTTCGATAAGTCGTGTGAACCACGGACAACAAACGCGCGATCAGGTGAATTAAATTAATCGATTGTTATTGGTAGTTGTCTAATTATGGCATTCTCAGTGTCAGTTAGCGAGTACTTTTTTTCAGTTTCTTTTTGGTAGAAAGTTTCTTTCTCTTAGTCGAAGCTCTCGTACTTCGATCTCTTGTTTCCTTCTCCTTTTTTAACCTGAACGACGAAAATAATTCGATTATCGAACCTGTTCCATTCTATTTTTACGACTCCATTCGGGTCACAGGAAATCAACGGCTTCTGCCATTTTTCCTAATAAAATATTCCAACGTTCAGCACACGAGTCATATACCAATCCGAGGAATTGTTTTCGAAGAAAACTGAGGTAAAATCTAGAAAGAAATTTCAGCCTGCCATTTTGTCGATTTTCTAAGAACAGAAATAAAATTTTTACTGACACCTAGGGAACTTTTTCTCTGCAGTCTTTTGTTTCATTTGCTCGAGCTTTTATTCCGTACGATATTCTTCACTTGAGTAGAGTAACAGGAAATAAAATTTTTACGAACATCCGATGCATTTGAAAATTGAATCAGTCAGAACTTAATTATAATACTATTTCACTTAAACCAGAAAAGACACAGAAACTGACGTACCTTTCCTTTCTCAAATATATTCAAGCACTGAATCAACCCTTCGACCAACCATCTCTACAATATTTTCACCTAAACGAAGAAACAATAATGATATCGGAGACACATAAACTGACACATGTATCCAAAATCTTTCCAAGCATCCCTTCAACCAATCAACTTAGAATTCTCAACAATATTGTTTACCTGGATCAAGAAATAATCACAATATTGAAGACAAAAATATCCAAATAAAATTAAAAATATAAATTATTAAGAAGAATTTAACGTACCAATCAGTGTGGAGCCATTTTCTCTGTTAAAAATGACAAACATACGTTTCATTATTGAAACAGTTTAGTTGTAACGAGACCGTGGATTTTTATAATTAATTTATAAAAGAATCTAAAGATACAAAAATATTTATTAAATATAACAATATCCCCTAGTTAGTTACATTCATAAAAATATAATAAAAATGCATAAAAATCCGCGATCCAGTTGCAACGATTACAGTATAATGACCAAACTCTCCCATCGAGTGAAGATTTCGACGACAAAACTATCTATACAGTGCAGATTTCGTTTTAAACGAAAAGTGACTTTCGTATTGATTAGCTTCTGAGCCCTCCCTACGATCGAGTTATAAGCTTGGACAATAGTGATTAAACTCGATATCGTTATCGAGTCGAATGGCAGGACGGGCTTCTACGGGACAAAAGGAATTCAACACCGTCCCTACGAATCGACCAGGCGAATTACAGAAATGTAGGTAACGCGAGAAACGGCGTAACCGAATATCGAAACAGATTAACGCCATCGCAGAGTCGCGTATTCAAATTTCATGCAGATTTCCGCGCCACTGCCGGCCCGCAACCGGGCGATTTCGGTTCGTTGGAAACCGAATTTATTAAATTCTAGATATTCTTCTTGCTTAATTGCATGATAATTTTCCGCGACACCATTGTGTGTCTTTCTCTCTGTGTGATCCTCCTTCGTGTTTCTTTCGTGATTGACAGAAAATTTGATATATAAAGAAGTTCGAACCAGCTGCAATAAAAATTGTATTGGCACGCAGCTTTGTCTTCTAACAAAGTGTTTCCTTTTTTTTTTTTTTTTAATTAGAACCTATATACGTTTCATTTGTTCACAGTATCGAATTTTTATAGTCGTGTAAAATGATACAAAATTTAATACCTGATTAATTACTTAATAATGATTAATTACTTAATAACGATGATTAATTAATAATTAATTATTGAACGTTAATTATTGTTATACTTGACCAATTATATCTCACAATGGTGCTAATGAAGCTTCAGAATGTTTTGTATAATATACACAACATGTATTATATACTGTACATGGATATTTAAATTAATCTTGTAGTTTAGATCTCTTGTTATTTGAAATGTTTCATGATTGCATATTTAGTTTACCATTTTGCAAAAGCTACGCGCGCTAAATAAATAAAATCTATGTTTCTGTCAATTACAGTAATCGCTTTACTCAATTAATTAATGCGTTAATCATTGATGGCGATGTCATTTGAGTATAAAAGAGGAATAATTGCACAATTTTTAAATAATTATATTAAATAATTATATTACACATTGGTAGAAATTCAAAAATAAATATTTAAGCAATGCAAGAAAAATGTAATATAAAAACTTAATAAAAAAAAAGAAAAAAAAATACAAAATAAGTATAGAATAAAAATTTGCTCGACGTTATAAAATCTGACTCGATCATCACCACTGTAATTATGAAACTGTCCATTGTACAAGACATTAATCTACTAAAGACCAACGTTGCATTAACGCAACGTTTCATTCACAATCATTCTCAATCAATGTATATCATGAAATTCTATCATTTAACATTCGAGCTATGAAAAGAAATTTCGAGTTTCATATTTCTCACAAACATTGAACAGGTTGACATAAGTTCTAACGAAATTTTATGAAATTTAAAGGAACTGAGATATTTATAATATCGTGATGAATTGTTACTTGGTCACTAACGGGTCTAATAAGAGTCACAGTACACTTTTTTCTTTTTTCTACAAATTTGTCAATACTTGAAAGTTCGCATTTTCAATGACTCCGGCTCTTGTTGCAAGTTCTCGATAATTTCGCGCGAAATAATACGTATCGCTCGATCTCTTCCATCTTTTTTTCTCTCCATTGCGCGGAGGGTGAACCGCTCGGCCTCTCGAAAGTTTTTTAATTAAAATTCCACGTCTCCCATAACGATATATATACTCGTTCGACGAACCGAGACAATGTATTATTAATTAACTCGGTCTCCCGTCGACGTTGATTTACCCGCGCAACAATACGCTGTCTATTTACCTGCGAATACGATTGAACTGCTAATTAGGACTTCGTTTATTTATCGGCTCGTCGTCAACCCGATTGACACGACTCACGGTGAAAATTGATCGATTATTGTTTTTTTTTCTTTCTTTCTTCTTTTCGCACGGTTCTCGATCAACGCTCGCGGTCTATCCAATGCAATTACACGTCCACTATGATTCGACAATCCTTTCGTATTTTTTTCTTTTTTTTTTTTTTGTAAAATCAAATACAGAATTCTTCGTGATCAATATGCCGCAGTTTAACTGAGGAAGGAATAGAAAGAAAATTTTTGAAAGTTTTTGCTTCATCATTCAACATCATTGTGATCGTGGTTTATGAATTATTGTGTATAGCAGTGTCCCAATGGGCTATTATATGTTTTAAATTAAAAATTGATTAATCAAATTTAAGGTTACGTCTGCAATATTTGGATACAATGGTATTACGATAATATTGGTGAAAACTTTCAGGCTATAAAATTTACAAATGGTCAAGAATTTTGCTGTCTCCAAGTACTGACGATTGTGTGACAAGAAAAATTGAAAAATAATTACGATAAATAGTAAACAATTACACATTTTTTTGATTTTCAATTGACACGCGTATGCAAAACGTTCAGCAACGAAGTCAAGGCACGAATAGTTCGACGAGGAAAAAAAAAAAAAAATGCGAAACAACGAAAATTACTGAGAATTCAATTAACACGTGCGCGTGCTCATCGATTTTCGATCTTTAATGAAGAGTAAAATCCGACGAGGGGCTGTTTTCACGTATTGCAAATGGGGTTCAACATCGTAGGATCTCCAATGAAATTTCCAATTCTCGTTTCTTCCGGAATGTTCTTCCCTATAGACTCCCGTAGGCAGTGAACTCGTCAATTGGACTTCCTGCAGCCACGCCTGCGAGCACCGTTGCAGTAATTAATATAATTGAATCGCCGATTCGACGCCAAAGACTCGGCACAATTCGTGTTATGATTCTTTCACCGACGGTAAAACAAATTATAAATCAATTATCTCCCACTCTTTCTGCAGCGAATTTTCTATAATCTTCTCTGCAATCAATTATCTTGTTTCTAACAATCGTCTCATCGATCGTACGTAATTACAAAGCATCGAAAAATATCGTATTGTTATTTAATAACAGACTGATGGAAACTGACAGAAAATAGATATTCTGAATAATGTATTTCCGAGAAAATATTCTACCTAAAATAATGAAATTTTGGAATTAAATTACTCGAGATGATACGGAATATCGAATCACATTGTAACAATTGTGCAATCGTTAAATGAATGTTGAATTTTTGGAAATAACACATTGCAGTAGATGTATCTAATTATAAAACATTGGATTTTATATTACATTATTATTTGATGTAATTATCTGATTATATGGAATGTATTATATCGTTGCTTAATTGTCGTACAAAGTAAACATTTATCAGAATATTTTTGTAGGTGATGTTGAAACTTCTACAAGAATTTAATTTTTAAATTATAATAATCGTAACAGGCAGCAAATTGTAATAATTCTATCTAATTATGTGCAACAGTGGAATATATATATTTCAACCAATCAAAGATAAGCAAATATCGTAAATATTAGCAAGAGAAAATTTCTGTAAATGGCAATATAACGTGTTATATTTCACGATTATTGACAATCGAATCGTAGAAAATATCATCGCCCTGTAACTTCAAATTTCAGAAGAATCCTAACAAGTTACATTACATTGTCTTCCAATTATTGGAACTCGAATTCCAAAAAAACAAAAAAACAAAAAAAAAAAGAAAAAAAAAACAAGTATCAAAAATACTCGCGAGGAAATCTAGATCTAGAAGAATTTAATTTCCCCTTCAACCGAAATTTTCTTCTTTTTCTGTTTTTGCAATATTTGCCAGACCACGGCGGGCGACACGGGACGAACGCCAGAAACGTTTCCTTTGAATTATTAAACGGACAAATGAAACGCGCCCTCCTCCCTTCGGGGAAATCAATGAAATTTCTATCGTTGGTTGGCACCAAAACCCGCCACCCCCCGCCGCCACGTGCGTCGTCAGTCATTCGCGATTACGTTGAATAATTAACAGCCGCCGAACTCGATCGTAATTAATTATGCAAATAACTAGCGCGTTCAATTTGTTATTAGATTCGTTGGGATTCTGCGACGATTAACGAGCCGGGCGGCAACGTAATCGTCCTCGGCGTGCACGTCACGAACACCCCCTTGCGGTTCACCGGCGAGTTGCAAGGAAAATCCTTCTATGAAATCGATGTCGAACGGCGAGACTGATCTTTGAATAATGGATAATTTCCATCGCTCTGTTATTCATCGATTGTACCTATTTTGGGACGGCAGGGTCTCTCACTCTAGCTGGCAGTTAATTCACGAGATACGCGATTCTGAAGTGTTGTTAATTTTAAACGTCGTCGGTCCGCGGCGATTGAAGCGAATTGAAACGAACCTCACCGATTTATTCCTCGTTTGTCACGTTCGAAGATTTATGTGAACGACGTTTAGATGTTCAATATTATATATATTTCATAGACGAAATGCTGGTTGAACGTTAATTTATGAAAATTTCGCGCACGATGTCGCGAATTACATCC